AAAAAAAAGAAATTGTTTTTAGATTTTAATGCTCTAACCTGAAGAAAGAGAATTGAAAGTAGTGTCCTTATAACTAAGTCAGAAATATAATAGTCTAAAGATCAACAGTCAAAAATATTCTTATCACCTAACTCAACCAAACAACAAAAGCTTAATACAATTTAAGATCAAACCATTAATTTTAACTATATAAAATAATAGGGATAAATTGACATTTCTGGCTTTTATCCAAGTTAGAAACTAAAGATATTTTCTATTAAATCTGCCATTACTTCAGACCCATATTGGTTAAGAATATATACTTTTGAAGAAAATAAAATTTCTTACTTTTTTCCAGTCTATTTCCCTGTAGGAAGAAAGACTGAGAAGTTAATAAGAAGAATTTGACAAAACAAATGAGGCAATAATCAACTTTTTTTTTAAATCGTTGATTGAAGATATGAAGATATAAACTCCAGCAGATATGAACAAATTGAACAGACAAACTTTTAACACAAATTTCAGCTTTGATTTTGGATAGAACATTTTATATGTCAGGCACCATTTTTGTGGTATCAGTGAAAAAAAAAAATCTTTTCCACAACCCGCATCATGAAGCAGCAGAGGTAGGTGTGGAGACTTGTAATATATTTACCTCTTAAGTAGTCCAAAAAGTAAATTTTCACACTAATGCACTCTACAACCCCTTCGTTGACTGCGCTATCAACTAAATGAGAATAACAACTCAATAAGACAAATATTAACCAAAAAGGTGCTAAAAAAAATATGGAATCTCATAGTGAGTAAACTTGTACCCAGACTATAAGAAAATTTGATATTTTAGAAATATTGAGGCTTGAATGCTTTATAACATACTCCAAAGACAGAAGCCTGGATCAAATCATTAAACACACTTAAAACAATTTTTATAGAACTGTAGGATGATATTCCAAAAGAGGCATACCAAAATTCAAGATGAGTCGGGAACACGGGGCTCTCATGAGGTAACTTCGATAGAACAATTTTAGTTGATTAACAAAAATTAAATAAAAATTACTATGAAAGTATCGTTTAAACAGAATTAATCAACTTTGAGGGGTGGGGGAGAACAGGATCCTTCCCATGAGACTGATGAGGGGCCTCTTCAACAACTGGATGCTTCCCCGAAAAATATTGGAAAGTTAAATGCATGAGAACTAATGAACATTTTCCGATATTTCAATCCTTGAAAATTATTTCAGTAAATAAAAGATTTTAATCTATTTCTATACCATCCAAACTTGGTGGACACAACAAAAATACTTTTGCTAATGTGATAAAAATTAAAATTAAAAGCTTTTTAATTAAATATTATTATTTGATCATTTATAAGTTAGTGAAGAGAAGAATAGTTGGGGTGGTCAGTCAAAAAAGAAGGCCACCCCACTATTCTTCTCTTCATTATCCACGACAGTCAACCATTTACCAATTATTTATTTATAAGTTAGGTATTTTAGTTTTCTTATGTTTTAATGAAGTTACTGTTTTAATAAATTAAAATAAAATTTGATCATAATGGTATTGAAAAACTTGAGATGCACAAACCTTTCTTTTTTCAATTACACACTATAGTAAGATATTTGCTTCGCTAAATCATATTGATAATCTTTACTAGTTTTATGCCTTTTTTTATGGCATACTAGTTTTATGCATTTTTTTTTTTTAATGGCATACTAGTTTTATGCCAATCCTCTTACATAATTTTGTTCTGATGATAGAGCAAGTACTGAAACTTATTTTAACAATATAAAGGATTTATTTATTCATGTCTTTCCTTTTTTACAACCAGTTAAGCAATGTTTAACTGTAGTTCAATAATGAGCAACAAGAGTCCCGAAGGAGTGGTTCTCCAATATTTTTTCACCAAAAAATTTGAAATTGTATTTTCAGGTATTGAATATAAGGCAATGTACAAACAAATTTCTATTTAAACTTGGGAAAAAAAAATTCTAGTCGATGTTCATTCATGACTGTTGACTAATGAGAAAAAGATTAACTGTTTAAAGTGTAATGTAAACTACTCAATTAGCAAGATGTGCTAACATTTTAGCCTAAGTGGTAGACCTTCATGAGGGCAACTACTGCAGATTCAACACTTATTCCATATTATTCTGTTCTAAATAAAATGGAATACATAATAAACAATGAAACAGAATTTGAAAATTATTTATTAAAAAACGTTGAAGAATTAGGGAGTAAAATAATATTAATTAGTTACATTTATATATTCCGATTCATATATCTTTAGACATTAGATCCTTATATTCATACAAATTACCCACTGCGTTTCAATTATGGCACGCGCAAATTAATCTGAATGATAAACATTGCATGGTAATTTTATGATTACATGTCAGTATCTTGACATATCAGTTATATTTGATAGCCGAAAATGTTAACAAATGAGTCACTGTACCAGGAGTATTCTTATTTAAATTTAATTATAACGTAAACATTCCTGACATCACATAGTTGTATTAACATACACACTAGGATATTTCCATTACTCCATATAAACTGTGTTAACAATGATCTTTGCCCAAATATAATTCTGATGTAACACTTGTGAACTAGTACCATTGTTTTTGTTACATGATATAACATCGTTTTAAATTCATCAGAAATATTTTTTCCATGAGCATAAATTTAAATAAAAAGTGAAAATTACAGAATATTTGTAGAAATAACAATTAAGTTTGTGATAATGCTAACACATTGTCAGTTTTAATTTATAAATCTCGAGTCCTGAGCAAAATGTATTTGATCTTGAAAGATTAAAATTAATTTTCCAAACAGAACTTATTGCCAACGGTACTTTGTTATAGTTAACTTCTATTGAAACTTGAAAAGTTAAATGGTGAAAACTGGTAACACTACTATTCAAAACTAGAAAGTAAACCAATAAAGTCGAAGTTCAACCTCTATTACAACTCACATTTAGAAAATTATTGATTGCAATAACTAGAAGACACAGTATATATATATAGTATTAACCAGAAATGTACCTTTTCTATAAAAAAATACATAACAAAAGTGGACTTCAATAAATCACTAAGAAAAAACAACTTTAAATTAAAAGGTAACAAGAATTGTAGATTGTCTTCGGTTCAAAATGTTCCCTTCGAGTAAAAATAAAGTAAATACACTTCAAAAAGATTGTAATTCATTTATATATTGGAGTATACATAATGCCAATAGTTGTACAATGAATTTACTCACCAAACTAAATAACGTGTGTAACCTCCTCGTATTAGGCCGTGCTACTATCAGCTGTTCCCAAAAGCAACACGTTTTACCTCGCCATTCGAACTAGACTATTTGGCGGAAATACGACTAATGATAATATTTCATTCGCCTTTGTATTTTATTGCCAATAAAAGTTCACATTTATATGGTAAGAAAAATAATATCTAAATTGTCATCCAAAATTAGATGTTTTTTTTTATAATAAATTTAAATCCATTTTTAAAATCGATTAAAACTGATAACAACTATATTTTTCCTTTTTGAAGATAAACTATGACAAATTATGTTTTTCCCGTAGTTTTTAGTCAAAAATATTTTTTTAAATAAAAATATTTTTAGCCAAAAATATTTTTTTTAATAAAAATAAATGAGAAAATATCTGAAATAACGGTACATTCAACTTAGTTTTAAAATTTAATTATTTATAAATAATTAGCTGAGGCCTATAATTAAAAAAAAAAATTATTTCAATTTTAAGTGGTAGTAAATAACTGTTTGAAGCTTTTAACTCTATTTATTTTATTTTTTTCATTTATCATTTTTACTACTGAATTTATGTAAAGCAGGTATTAAAGAATTTTCAATAAATTATTTTTTTTATTGTTTATTTTTATATCTTACTTTCTGTACTGAAGTTTTCAAGTGTATTAACAACAGTCATAGTATTCATTTAAAAACTTTCTAATTGGTTTCCCATTTACTACATAAAATTACTTTTAATCGTCATCAATACTAATTATGATAAAAACATTAAAATAATGAACTAATGAAAATATTGTTTTCCATTATTTTTATCTTGATGCAACTAGACGGGATTTAAAATTTTCTGTTTTTATTTTATTTAAATCTGTATAGATTGTTTTTATTATAACCTAAAACTTACTATGCATATCCTCTTGTGCTTAGATTACAGAATAATATGATATATAAGTTCCTCTATTTAAAAAAAAAAATAATAAAAGAATTAGAGTAAGTGGTATTACCAGTAGTAATATTAGCACAGTGAGGCCATTATTCTTGGCCAAATAGAAGATGTGGGAAATAGGAATAGAGTTGAAATTTGGAGGAGTGTGGATAGTCTTCAATTTATATCCAGAGCATATTTAGTATATTAATTTTCAAAGACCTCAGTTTAAGGTACTATAAAACTCAATTTAACTTTTAAGAAAGGAAGCAAGCAAATATGCATTGTTCTATTAAGTAGTCATTACTGGTATTAATTCATGAACTTAAATGTATAATGGTATTACAGAATAAAAGGGCGAGTGAGTAGAAAGCTTTGGAATCATTTTATCTAACAATCCTTAACTCAATTCTTTCAACATTAAGAGATTTTAAAAAAACTGTCTAGTTTTGTTTGTTTTTTTACTTTCCTTTAATAACTCATAGAATTTTTTCAACCTCAAAGTATGTAGAAACAAATGTAAATATTTACCTAATTCATTTTTGTCAAAAATTGAGTTAGACTGGATTATTGTTTATAAGGCGATTTTCACTATTGAAATCTTTAATTTAAAGGAAGAAAAAAAAATCAGTTGTATGGGAGATAAAGAGTTTTAAATATAAATAAAACCATTTTTTTGAGAAAATAACTAGATAGATAAAAAAAGGAATGATAGGATCTTATCCAGGAACATTAATCAGTACAATTTTCATTCACATCAATATGACCTTTTTTTCTAGATAAAATGCCTTTCAAAATAAATAAAAGAGACAGTGGTTTAATAAAGTCATCTGTAATTTTAAACACATCAAAACTAATATTCATATAAAAATATCTAAATCTCACGTTAAAAACACTAAACAAATATAGTTTAAATTTATAATATATTTCATATTTTATTTACACATTGTTTTGAGTCAATTTCATTAAAAACTTCCTTCATGAAAAAGAAAAAGTATTATACCACTCAACTTGTTCTTTAGTAAGTGATGGAGGAATTTCTTTCAAAGCTTTTAACCAATGGCTTTGCTTTATTATTTGAGCATCCATACCATCCTCAGTCAGAGCCTGAAGTGCTGCCTAAAAACATTAAATTTTACTGTTTATTTATATTTTAAAGAATAAAATAAATTATAAGTGATTATATACCTCTTGGCAAAGTGAATTCAAATCAGCACCAGAATAGAGATCAGTTTTCATAGCAATGTCTTGTAACTTGACACAATCACTAAGTGGCATCCTGTAATTGTTAAATCTAAATATAAAAACTTTACAACCAATTATAGTGTGTGGTACAGACCCGTTTTATCAAATTATTAACATCTGTCAAAAACTTTGTGAATGGCTTCATCACATCGTAACCTACAAATATTAAAGGTAAGGAAATTCTCAGAAACTGGGAAGGTGCTGGGGAAACAGAAAAGGGGTGTTTTCTCATTCAGCTGGATCATTTAATTACATACTAAATTTCTTTTTTTTTTTTATTTATATAGCCTGTTCTTACAAGTATTATACCTGTAGGCCTCCCCTAATTAAGAGGGTAATGGTCTAACTTCCCACAGGGACCAGCCATATTGGGAAGTATGGCCGGGATTCGATCTTATGATATTTGCTTTACTAGTATAGCGCGATAACCACTCTGCTATACCGACCCCCAACTAAATAAAACCGGATACTAAATAAAAACTCATAAATACTAATCTGCCTTCCATTTGAATCGTAAGAAAATTTGATAAAAAAAAAAAAAATATATATAGCCTACAAAAACATTGGGCAGTTTGGCCTTTATAATCTTGTTATTTTGACATGTTGAGGATGGAAGTCATGCCAAATAGCCCAATATTTTTGTAGGCTACCTTTATTCTTGATTTCATTTTACCATTCAAGTGGAAAGGAAATGTCTGTTCATTAGTTTTTAGTATTTAATTAAATAGACAACATTTGCCAATCTCCAGATTTAAAATTCCACTGGATTCCGAAAATTTTCATAAATAAAAAAGTTGTGGGTTACGATGAGATTAAGCTACTCAAGAAGTTTTAGGCAGATGTTAATAATTTGATAAAAAGGGGTCTATACCATGGACTATTATCTTTAAATAATAAAACAAGAAACACCAAAATTAAATCTGAATTTTTAAAATTAATTTTATTAATAACAAGAGGTTGAAAAATGAAAACAATTATTAAAATATTACAAAACCAGTAATTAAAAAATGAAAAGGCAATGCAATTAAAATATTTATAAGTAATATAAAATATTACTTTTGGTATAATGAATGTGTGGAGTTTTTAGATGCGCATTCATCCCTCATAATTGCACATTTAAATTAATGCAAAATCAAAATTACACTATTTAAGTATTGATACGTTTTTTTCAGATTTCCATGGTCTAGTTTTAAGATCCTAATATATATCCTATAATATATATATCCAAAAATATATTCTGTTAGATAACAGTAGAGCAAAAAAATAACCAATTATTCATTGAATTTACATAATATTTAGGTAACAATATCAACTTAGAAGGAACATACACTTTAGTAACGACTTTTAAGATATCCAAGCGATCTTCAAGTGTTGGAGGTGGCACATATATGAGCCTATCTAATCTGCCTGGCCTCAGTAGAGCTGAATCGACAGAATCTGGACGATTTGTTGCACCAATCACAATCACTCTGCTGTCCACAGTGTTCTCCTAAGAATAAAATTTAATTATCAAAATCGATAATGAAAATTCAAAACATATGATGAGTTTTCTTCATCAAAACCTTAATATCCATTATCCTATTCAGAAATATTCTTTAATGAAATAGGTCCGCTATCTAGGACTGCTAGTTGACAACTTGCTGACCAGGAATCTTCATACAAGACTGACATTAAAAAGATTCTTGACATTTCCATTTATTCAACATTTATTATACAAATGCAATTAACTTTCAATTAATAGCTTGGAACTAACTTATAAGATTAGAATCATGCATAGAAAAGACTAGCTGTCCTGCCCACAAATTGAGGGGAAGGCTGAGGACTGACCAATATATCCAATCATAATATATATATATATTCTGATTGGATAATAACCTCTGATATATATATTCCACTATCCAAGCAGAAAAGGAAAGAGAGATTGGAATAATGGGAAAATTATTATTGTAAACTGCTTGGCATAAAAATAAAACCTGTACCACTTCAACCCATGAAGGCTCTCCTTGGGAGCCGCAATATTAAGGGAAAGTACTGTTACTTAGTCAACGGTTGTGGAAGGAGGTTATTTGACAGAGATCACGACCAACCACCAGGTTTTCCCACTTAATTAATTATTAATTAAGGGTACCCACTTTATGGAGACTGGTTGTGCCCAAGATGGTCTCCAGATCCCCGGTTCACCTCACAGCTAATGAAACAGAATAAACAATTTTTCTGTGATGAGCCAAGGTTCGAACCCAGGACCTTGAGCATTGGAAGATCAGTGTCCTACCACTGAGCTACCCCACTCCGTATATGGAATAAAACAAAATGATAAAAATGGGATATGAAAGTTTAAAAAAAAATTTTAATCATTACATCGGAACAAAGTTAATAAGACAAAGTAGAATAAGTATATTTTGCAAAACCCGCAGTACATTGTCCAACTTTTTAAAAAATATAGTGAGAGAGAAAAGTACAATAAAACTGTAATGCTGCTCAACTATGTTGAGTTGCTACAACAGCTAGCATACTGATTAGTCCCAATCGATAATGTTTAATGAGAAAGAACATAATGGAAAGGGTATTGCAGGACATTCAAAGTACTGAATGTTATCATTTATGATTATTTATAAAAATGAGGAATAAAAATTATTCTAAAACAATTAAACTATTAGGCTGTGGTGCAGCTCGGACAATGTTGTGGCATGTGTATCCTAACCTTTATTTCCAATTTCAAAACAACTGTAATGTTTTAACAATAAACATAAAAAATATAAATTGCTAATATATTATCTATAACTATAGCTATAAATTATCGATACTTACAATTATTCTAGATTCGCCTTTATATCCTACTCCATCCATTTCAACAAGAAAAGTAGAAAGAATTGTTTCTTGTGCACTTTTTTCTTTTCCTTCTCGGCTTCCAACAAGAGCATCTAAGCAGAAAAAAATATATATTAATGACAATAATAACAATTTCCATTAATTGGATCACACAATTAGTAAATAAATAATAAAAAAAAATTTCAGGCATAGAGTAAATTAAAATATTCATTAATAATTTTAATCAAAATTAACCTATTTCGTCGACAAACAAAATTGTAGGCGATGCATCTCTTGCCCTTTGAAAAAGGTTTGTGATGGTTATTTCAGCATCTCCTACATAAGGTGAAAAGAGATCAGCAGCGGACACTGAAAGGAATGTAATATTGGAACTGCTAGCCAGAGTTCTGGCAAGGCTAGTCTTAGCACAACCAGGAGGACCATATAGAAGCACACCTGGAATCACGATAGAAGGTAAGGATATGATTACGTAACATATACTATAAAAAGTCTTAATGAATAGTCCTAATAATATTAAACATAATGAAATTATACTTTTAGTATCGTGCCTACACATTTGCAGCTCAAGAACTCTGCAACATGAGTGGTTATGTCAATGTTATATCAAAATTTTTTAATAAAAATTATTCTTTCATTATGCCTAATTATTCATCCTTACATAACAAGGGGTTTAACTGATATAACAATCCTGCTTTCATTAATTAAAAAAACTTCATACCGCACAGCTTGAGAACATTTGAAAACAAATTGCATTAGTACACAGGAGGATCTACAGGGGGGCTTTCGGACTGAAGCCCCCCCCCCAAAAAATGTAAAATATAATCATGTTTAAAGAAAAACTATCTCTAAAAGTATTATTGTTCGTATAATTACATTTATTAGGACTTAAAGAATCATCTAAACACCATTTCATATAGGTAGTTAGTTTCTTTCTTTCTTACAAAGTAATTATCCTAATATATACATACAAAAAAAAAATCTTTCAGCCTGAAGCCTCCCAAAATTAAATCCTGGATCCGTTAGTGCATTAGTAAACTCTAACTCAAAAAGAAAAGCAGCCACTTTATCTAATGAATAAATAAAAAACAATAACTTGAAGAAAATTCTACTGATGCCGGTGTCAGTACTATAAAACATATATAATCTACAGAATGTAATGTAATCATAAAATAAATATTCTGAAAACACTATTTTTAAATCGTTACCCACTCCTCTTTACTCTAGTTCATTCAGGTTTTACTGATTTTATGATTCCTAAGAAAGGAATGGAATAAATATTTTAACAAACGTTTATATATAAGGGAATTAGAATAACAGTAACATAAGTCAAGTTAGCATTATTTCGAGAAAATTAATATTTTGCAAATGTACTTAATAAGATTTTATCCATACAACTAGCTTATATTTAACATCAATGAGTGTCATTTAAAATTACTCTAAACTGATATCTATTTTCAATTTTTCTTGGCTTTAAGTTTACTATTCTGCATAATTATCTGACTCAAGACAAGAGATACGTCTAATCATGACAGAAAATTATGGTAATGTAATCAAACCAAATGGATTTGCCATAAGCTTATTACCTTGTACAAGTTAGGAAAAATCCAAGTATTTTGTTCTACATTGGATAATTGATAGTACAGTAAAATTAGCATAAATTATTAACAGACAATTTCAATCACAAGTTATGTTCATTACTTAATTTATTTAGAAACAATTACCAGAAGGCTTCTTAATATTTAATCTTTTGAAGGCTTCAGGATGTAACAGCGGCCATTGGATTGATTGGTTTAGTAACTGCTTCACTCTTACAAGCCCTCCCAGCTGATTCATGTCCAGCTTCTGAGATCTCACGACTCCAAGCTCTCCTCTAATAGAGCTAGCTTCGATGAGGTAGACCATTTCATTTATGGCATTAAATAATTCTTCTTCACTAAAACTTTTTTTTACATCTGGTTTAAATATTTAAACTAATCCATTACGTAAACATTAACTGTAAACTAATGAACTAACATTCACAAAGAATCAATTAATATAATTTTAAAAATACTTTCTCTGTATTCTAACTCTAAATATGTTACTAATGTGTAACCCTAATATAATGTATAATTTTTTTTAAATGATTATAATTTCACTTAACTTCGCACAAATAAAATGAATGGTTAAATAAAATATTAACATTTCAGTCCTTAAAGATTTAATAAAAACAATTTTCATTATTCTTTTTACAATCATTTGACTTTTGGATCTCCCCTAATTAATGAAGTTCAAATTTGCTAGCAGCAGTGAGTGGTAGAAACCAGAATTTGAAAAAATAATTAATATATTGTCAGTACATTCAAGCCATGAATACAACCCTCCCACCACATTTTCTATAAACCTACAGCTGTTATAAACAGGATTTAGTTGATAGGATTTTTATGCCCTAAATAGAAACAATTTTTAATTCCAAATTTTATCTTTCTCCTTGCTCCCTCTTATCCACCCCTTTGCAATTTTTACCATTCGTTTAAGTATTAAATCAAATAAAACTTTCCTGATTAGTGAATTATATGTCTCAACAAAGTTTTAATTGGAACGCCATCTACCCTTGTTCTCAAGTTATGGAACGAAACTTACATGTCTTCAGATAGCACTGTTTTATATCTTTGCAAAACAATCAAATTATGTCTGTTCAGCAAATTTGTGACTGTTGAAAGGGTTATACCCATTTCACAAGAAAGATAGTCTTCTGAAAAATTTCAAGGCGCAGGCGCACATACATTTTGGTTAGTGTTGACAAGAAATGAAAAAGAAACAAAAAAGAAATGAAAAAGAACTTAACATTTCACCCACCAAGAAGTGACCACCAAAGGTTGTTTTTATGGTGAGCAAGCCAGCGTTATCAGTAATAAATGCACCATACTATGGATTGCTAGATTACTAAATGACTTAGCCAATTATTTATATTAAAAAAATCATCATAAATTATGTTATAAAATGTTTGGTAAGTAAATAACATTGAATGTTAGTATAAGATTAACTTTTAAAATAGCATTCAGAGTAATTTAATCATTTGATTCAAATTAATTAGGGGTACTACACCTTAAATAGGAAACTGAAGGGAATGGAGGATATGAGGCTATGAACCAGAAAAGTAAACATGCATTATGAACAACATAAATAAAAGTTAATCTAACTAAATAATATTTTTTTAATTATATTAAATTAATTAAGCTATGCATACATGAATTTTTCTTTCAGTCATAAAGTGGATCCATAAATAAAACAAGTTTTTTTCACACAAAGAATGAATTTTATTCAACAATGTATTCGTTGTTTTGATTAATGACCTCTTGCTATCTTACAATTTCATTATTCTGCTCTCTTAAAATATCTGGGGCTCAGAAATGAAAAACTGATTGAGATACATTTTCACACCTCTCTCATCAGATAACGATTCTCCATTGAGAGAGTTTTGGAGGGACCAGAATAAATGGTAGTCAGATGGTGCAAGGCCAGAGAATAAGGTGGGTGTAATAAAACATCCCAGCCAAGTTACACTAACTGTGCGATTATTGGAGAGTGTGGTCTGGTGTTGTCATAGTAGAACTAGTTCTGGACGTTTCTGTCTGTGCTTAGTCCAATCTCGTTAGCTGTGGGCAGCACACCGTGATAATCCCACCAGATGGAATGCAAAATATTTTTCGGATGTAAGCTAGCCTTCAGGTGGTATTAGGCAGCTCGTCAGCAGTTGTCCATAATATCCTGAGCATTACATTGTCATAGATGATCCACTTTTGAGCAGTACGTTCTGTTAAGGAATCGTCCTCATCTACACCATACATATCTTTCAGTGGACCTCTGAAGCTTATTTGACTTTTTTTGGTATACAAAGAAAAATATGCCGAAAATGCACTTTATCATTTGACATATTCCCTACTACAAACAAAACTAATGTTAATGAAACCAAACACAACAGTTTTGCTCGTTTGACAAAGAGTGGACTTTGACCTTTCTGATAAGTATAATTATTGTAAAATAAGGCAAAGAGAACTAGAGATATTTGAAAACGATTCGCACTACTAACAAAAATCGAATGAACTTATGGCTTCACCCTATATAACTTCAATTAAAAAAAAACAGGTATATTTTGATTAAAGTAAGTAATCAATTTCTTAAGCATAATATCAAGTATTTTATGTGTAGAAAATATTAAATATATAATTATATTAAAAAAATTAAAATTAGTTTATGTTAAAATGAAATCAAAATTTGAGAATTATTTTTGAGTAGTTACAATAAATTACAATACTTTGTTTGCTGTCTGCCTTTTTGATTATTCACTTTCAATTTAGCTCTTTTGACAAGCAGCTTCAAATCAGCAATTACAAAACCAGGAGTCTTTCGTGCAATTTGCTTTAATTTCTCTTTAGAAAGAATATCACCACAAAAATTACTCAGCATTTCACAGCGTTCTTCTTCATTTGGTATACCAATAAAAACCTAAAATCCAGATGATTCATTTCTTTATTGTTATATTATAATAATAAAAATTAATTACAGTAGGATGAAGACTGAATAAATATCAGTTATAAGAACCAATAAAGTAAAGCTCTCTTACCCAACCACTAGATTGCTTCAAAGTTAACTAGTTACATCTTGAACAGTGCTTTTTAGTTGAAACTAATGTAAGGATCATGATTTACCTGAAGGAGCCAAAAAATATGTACATGTTTCCTTAATAACATGCGTTTTACATTTATTTAAAAATAAAATCAATCAACTTATCTTTTGAGAAGGAGTTGGTCAGGGATGGTGTCAAATTAAATACTACATACTACAATAGTATTTTATTGGTATGCCGACGTTTCGACCCACTTTGTAGGTCTTCATCATGGCTACAAAAGATACAAAGTACAAAAGAGATAAAAATAAAATAAATGACTTATTAGTAGATATTAAATAAATAACAGTTATCTGATAAAGAAACTAAAAAAGTAATAAAATGACATAAGTGATATAGTGGATTATAGTATAGTTAAAATATAAAGTATTATATTGATAGAAGATACAAATAAAAATAAAATTCACCTTCATTTTTATTTTTATTATCATTTTTATTTTTATTTGTATCTTCTCCATATCCATATAATACAATATATTTTAACTTTACTATAAGCCACTGTATCACTGATGTTATCTTATTAGTTCTTCAATTTCTTTATCAGGCAACTGTTACTTATTTAATATCTACTAATAATTCATTAATTTAATTTTACTTTGTACCTTTTATATTTTGTATCTTTTGTAGCCTTGATGAATACCTACGAAGTGGATTGAAACGTCTGCATAACCAATAAAATATTATTGTAGTATTACAGTATTTAATTTGAGCCCACCCCTGACCAACTCCTTCTCAAATAATAATCACAGTCAACCATCTCCACACCAATCAGCTTATCAATAGTCATACTTAGGTAATACAATCACTATCCTATCAGACTTTAAAAACAGTAAAACAAGTTTATGAAATTAAGTACCCTATTATGGAATCTGGAGGAAGATCTAATCAGCCTGTGAAGAAGATTAGGAGATGAAGTAGTTCCAATTACAACTAATGGCAATGATGGATCAATAGAATCGAGAAGGTGTATAAATTGGGAAAATATACGCCCTTGCTTAGAGCAAAACGATTCTATTCTTGATAACAAAATTATACATGGTCCTGAAATAAAATTCAAAACTTAATTAATACTTTAAAAATATTAAAAATACAAAGTTAAACAATATCAAGGAGGGGAATATTTTTACCTTCTTCGCATAACAATCTGGCATGATCAAATTTTTCTTTTATTAAGCGTTCAGTTTCACCTGGTTGTGGTCTGTTAAGCTCAGGCCCATCTATTGTTAAAATTGTCGCTTTAAAATCGAATGCTAATCTATTGATTAAAGTTTTTTTACCACAACCATCAGGACCAATAACTAAAATCTAAAGTTTTTTTATTGTTATAAAATTACTGATTCAAAAACCAAAACAAACCTCAAATTAATGCTAATAATTAACAGAGCTAAAATAAGAAATAAAAAAATATATATTAAGATAAATTATAAAAGTTGGGGAGATGGCCATAGATGAAATCACACAAATTAGAAACCTTATTTTCTTGTGTGAAGACATTTTGGCTCAAGTTTTAGGCCTTCAATAAGACTAGTATCTACTTATGTAATGAAAACTATTTTAAAAATATTATTTACACAATAAAAATATATGTTAAGAATGACCATAATACATTAATTTTATAAACATGCTGTCTAAATTATCTTTTCATACCTAAAAGAGAACTTGAATTTTTTTTTCATTTCACAAAATTAAGAGTAAACAATTTAAACTTATTGGCCGGCAGTGTGTCAATGCATTATACACGCATCCCCTGAGTTGGGTACACCTGAGCTAAGATATAATATACCACATACAAATAAAATACAAAAACAATTAAATATCAAAATAACAACTTTAGAAAGAAGAAATTTTTATAATTTAAATGAATTATACCTTCAATGACGAAATGAGATTCAAATGAGAGTTCTGAGACAAAGCATTTTTCATTGCAATAAAATACTGTCTCAGTTTTTCATAAGGTCCATTTAACCCAGCCAAATTCATATCTAAGCAGTTCTCTAGAAGCTGAGAATATCTTTCATAACATGTGATTTCATCAATTATGATTTTAGTTGAATCAACTACTTTTCCAGCAGGTATACTACCAATGTTGGAAACAACAATAGAGTGAAGACCAATAGAGTTGAGGAATTTTAAATTTTCAACATCTATTATTACATTATTGACATGAACAAAAATTTGCAAAATTTGTTTTAATATTTTTTTCAAAGCATGACTTTTGCTTTCCCATTCCTTTTTTCTCCAAGCTGATTCGAATATTACACATAAATGCATCGTTTTAATGTAATTAATACAATTGAGGATAGCTATGTCTTTGTACATTACAGTTTCAGTTTCAGGAACCCACATCGCTTTAGGTAAATATTGGACCGTTTTATCCAATATACAAACATTTTCTTGAAGTAAAGGATTAATGCATATTCTGACAAGATACTTGTCCTTGCTGTTAACAGGAATGAGTGCATATCTTCCATAATGTTCTTCAGGGATGGTATCAGAGAAATAACAACGCTGTAGGCTTGTTAATGTCTGTTTGCTAACAACAACTTTATATATCATTTAAATCTTAGCTAAAAATATTTAGCAAAATAGATTGTATCAAACTAAATACAAACATAGGAAACCTATCTGAAACCTCCCTCCTTTCAAATAATAAGCAACGTGAATTCCAAAGAAGTAATATTTGTATTTGTACCATTCTGAAGCATAGTAAAAAATGTTATTTTTGATGATATAGATTAAACGTCAAATTAATTTTTACCTCGTTCCGTTCAAATTTTATATTTAATTTCCTACTTTAAAATGCTCAGAAGTGATTTTATTATCGTTCTGCTATATTTGTATTATTAAAAAAACTCGGTACGTTTCCCGGAAAAACAAAATATTAATAGAGTTGGATCTATTGTAAATGTAATTATAAATTACAATTAGACAAGCACTTAAAAATTGCATTCGATCGTGAATTTTTGCTATCAACTACAAACATCACATAATTTGTTTTCTTACATTTTTCAAATCTCAGGTTGGATTATAAAATATTCCGCTCTGTGAGATGGAATTAAGTCAGGGAGTAAGTTCATTAAGAACTCTAGAATGGTAATTTTAATCAGAAGTGCTCATAATCCTCCTATTTTTTTTTTCTCCCTGCCTTGCCTTACTGGCAATAGAGGTTTTATCAGTAGTGGGGTATTGCACAGGGTATATGCATATGCCACTGATGGCAGTACAGGTCCATTTTATTAAAATTTGTTTAACATTTATTATTTATAATTGTTATTTTGGAAACTGTGCTGTAAACTTGTGACGGCTGTGCACAACCCACGCCTTTCCTTTCCTCCATTCTTTCTCCTTCTTCCACCTGAAGCTGGTCCTCGAATCAGCTGCAACTTGTCTTAGGTTCCTTCTCTTCTTCCCAGATTAAAACGTGTAGGGCTTGCAGCATCTTTCCACCCGGATACGAATTCCCTATAAAATGGGTAATTCTCTCGTATATATCCCTATCTCTCTCAGAAGCTTAGCTCTAAATGCCTCATAGGCACTGCATTAGACGACCACATGTTCAGCGGTCTCCGGAACGTTCCAGTTGGGGCATAGCAGATCTATATTCTTCCCGTGTTTAACGAGCTCGAAAGTCCCTATATCCCATGAGGAGTTGAGACACTCAGTAATCCGGGAGAACCCATCTTGCATCTAATCGTGACTTGACCGTGGGGAAGTACTTCCTAAGCGTAGCCCCTTCGGAGTTGCCATCCATCACCGGTTTCATTGGTCAACTGTGTCCTCCCTGATAATATAATCCCTGATAACCAAGCTGCTGCATCGTTGAGCTTCTGATTTCAGACCGGCTATGCTGTTTAGGCCACTACGGCGCCCAAATCGTCAACATAGGTTGTGGCAGGGAACCACTCCTCTTTGAGCTTGAGACGAGTCCAGCAACTCTTCAAAAGATTACCTTCCACAAGGCAGGACCCACAACAGAGCCCTACGGGTGCTCATACTCCTCTGAGGTCGATGGTGCATGGCAAAGGCACATCTACAGGAGGGTCAAGGCTTCTTCCTATCCTCTTCTTATAAAGCCAATTCAACCGGAAGCAGAATTATAACAATTTAATTGTATGTACAATTATACTTGCTATTTCAGGTTTCTTCCTTTATTTCCTGTTTTGAAAGTTCTTCCAAATTGAAATCCCACAAAAACATGGTTCCTTCAAAAATTCATAAGACAGTCAAAATGAGCTCTCCCTTCCTCTTCCCCTCAAAATTCAAAATCAATTGTAAAATGGTCCTATCAAAAGTTTTGATTAAACCATCAAACCCCTTTCTTGATCTTGATTTCTTGGGATTTTGATGAGAGGCAGTAGCAGATCCAGGATTTAATTTTTGGGGGGACTTCAGGCCGGAAGCTTTTTTTTCCTTATATATGACGATAATTACTTTGGAAAAAAAAAAGAAAGAAACTAACTATCTATATGAAATGGTGTTTAAGTGATTCTTTAACTCATATTAAATGTAATTGCACGAATAATAATACTTTGAGAGATATTTGCATAATACATGGTTATATTTTACTTGTTGGGGAAGAGGGAGTGGATATATTTTTATTTTATTTATTTTTTTTTTTTTTAATGATAATGTTAGAAGATAACTTATACTTTTTTAAAATTTATTATGTCTATTTTTTTTTGTGATTGTTATGTCTTAATGTGATTATTTTCTGAGGCTCTAAAGCCCACATTTCTATCTTTGTATATTACTTTGAAGGGACTGATCTCAGAATAAATAAAGTATTATTATTATTAAAAAATAACTCGTAACAAGTTCAATAAAACCTAAAGATGATAATTAAAAAAAGGAAAAAAGGAAAAGGAAGACCGAAAGGATTTCAAAGAGAAAACTGTACACTATCGCAAAGCCACAACATGGCAAATATCTACTGAACATCTAAAAGAAGCCTTAAAATCTGGCAAAGATGGAAAAGCTCCAGGACCTGGTGGAATACCTCTGGAACTCCTTGGAATATGGCTGGGAAAAAATTAGCAATAATTCTCACAGAATTAATAAACAAGATCATGGCTGGAAATGATCTGCCAAATGAAATGAAATTAGGGTATCTATGCCACATATATAAAAAGGTAATAAAAAATTATGTTCAAACTATAGAGATATCTGTGTCACCAACCCTATTATGAAACTCCTTGGAAGAATTGTCAAAAGTAGGTTGTTAGAAAGGGAATATGAGGGTACAGAAGACCCAAGTGGCTTAACTGCAGGAAGATTGTGGTTTACGATCATATCTTTACGATGAGACAGATCTTTGAAAAACGCCTTGAAAAATCTAAAGATGTGGAGTGTCTCTTCATTGATTTGGAAAAGGCATATGACTCAGTTCCAAGGAAGCTATTGTGAAAGCTCTCGAGGAAGCAAATATCTCAGAGCCCATTATAACCATCATAAGAGAAATTTACCACAATAATGCTTGCTGTGTTCAACTAGGGTTAAGTCTCTCTGAAAAGTTCCAGACCTCAAAAGAACTTTTGCTGGGAGGCTGCATTTCGCCTCCCCTTTTTAAAATTTATGTAGATGTTGCTCCTAGAGAGTGGAGAAGAAACAGTAGAAAAATGGGAATAAGGATTGGGGAAAATGTATGCACCATGAACCTAATGTTTGCAGATGACCAAGTAATCATAGCCCAGGATAGAGAGGACATAAATTATATGTTCAGAAAGGTTGTCAAGAGTTATGAAAAGTGGGAATTGAATATTAAATTCATTAAAACAGAGCATCTTGGCACTTCATCTGATGACATGCCAATTGAAAGAGGTATAAAAACTGTAGAGAAATTTAAATACCTAGGATCAATATTTAATAGAGAAGGCACATCCAATAATGATGTGAACAGAAGAATTGATGAAGGAAGAAAGGTCACAGCAATACTCAAAAGTATCTTTTGGAGCTCGAATATAGAGCCCAGTACAAAGAGGCTAATATACAAAGCTATATTCGAGCTAATTACGACATATGCCTCGGCGACTTGGGTCATCAATGCAAGACACTGAAACAGACTATTAGCAGTAGAGATGGACTATTGGAGAAGGGCAGCAAGATTCCAGAAGGGAAAGAATTAAAAATGAAAGAATTCTGGAATTGATGGAGGTGAAAAAAACATTATAGCAAATATTGAAAAGAAAAGGCTATGCTGGTTTGGACATGGGAAAAGAATGATTCCCAAAGATATGTATGGAGCTGGAAGTAGAAGGCAGAAGGAAAAGGGAAAGACTAAGGGTAAAATGGAAAGACACGGTGGAAAAAAGCATGGCAGGTCGTGTCATCAGAGAAGAAGAAGTCTTACATAGAGAAGAATGGAGAAATATCTTAAAGAATATTTAGGTCAAGGACAACCACATTAGTGGAAAAGTCTTTAATAAAAAAATATAATATAATTAAATAATACTACAGGTAATAAACTGATTATTGATTTTCTTTGTGTGTAGAGTTCTATTCCTCATCCCTAGCCATGTTTTGTATACTATTAGAAATATACTGCTGTGGTACATACTGATAGTTTATATTAAGTAAATGATGTATCTCTAAATTTTTATACGTCAGGATTTCTAAAAACGAAGAAAGCCATTTTCATAAGGTATCATTTTGTTGACATAATTACAAACTTCTATCTATTCCTTGCCTATGTAAATTACTGTTTCATTTTTTATGAACCCTCATTACTTGTGTATTTTTATCTTAAACACACAGATGTCTCAAAATATCAGTATTTCCTCCCTTAATTACTGTAGTGAAAACTTAATCATTGATGTTTTGAAAACGAAAATATAACTGAAAAAAACATTAAAAATCACCTCTTCACATGTTGACTATGTTGAGCAGAAATTTATTTCTGCTAAAATAGGGCTAGTTAATATTTAAATTTATTATTGCCACTTAATTAATTAAAAGCTAGAACCATACGTTTTTCCAATAGAAAGTACTCCGTGAAATATTTTTAGCAGCATTTATTCACATTAAAGGCTATTTTATTTTACATTGACATGATTAATCCAAATTGTTAAGAGTTTTCTCTGAAAAGGACCAAGAAATGTGTATTTCCAGTAAAAACTGAGATTCAAAATGTTTCACAATAACAACACATTCTCATATACTTCACATAATCTTAAAAAAAAAAAAAGTAAAAATATACGGTATAAATATTAACATTGCAAATTTTTATTAAGTTCTTTGGAATAATTGATTTATAGATTGTTTCATTAGAATTCATTGATTTTTTTTTATCAGTATTAAGGGTTCAATATAGTTATTTTGCTCATTTCATTGTTAAATTATTATTACATTACCTTTATCTTTTTTTAAAAAATAAATTTTCATAGAAGCATTGCACTTGAAGTTTATAATTAAAGATCATTACAAGAAACAAAACTTTCAAAATATTTTATTACTATATTTCTGTATGTATATATATATATTCACAATATTTAGATTATTTACATTAATATAAATATAAAAAATATAAAATAGCTTATAAATAAACAATAAAATAAAAACAAGATGTATCAACTTAAAGCTTAAGATTTACAAATATAAAATAAAAAATTTAAATATTACAAATAAATTGATTTCATCATAATTTAAAAACTAATCTTCTAAAATACATCAATATATATATTTATATTTCATATTATAAACTTTTAATTCATTGCAGTTTACAACCATATTTTAATTATCAGTAAGCTCAAATATTTTCTGTGTAAATAAAGTTACAAAATTTTATATAAAAAACCAATAAAATGAAGAATTATTTTATGACAGCTTAGTACAGATGGTTCATAACACAATTTATTAAACAATAAACTAGTTATATTAAAGTGTTTAAAAAAAAAATATTAACAGAGGTAACTTTCTTTTAATAAAATAATCAATCATAAGTTAGCATAAAATGATTTTAAGTAATAATAAAAATGATACCCATATGTTATACTTTGTTTTTTAATGTCTAACGTTTATAAATTTGAATGTTGACACTTCATTCTTATCGAGGACCAAATTAAACGTATATATATTTATACAATTATTCCAGTGGTTAAAAAAAAAATTGTTTATTTGAACTGAAAAAAAAATGTTAACTGTGATAAAATGATTATTATTTAATTTTATATTTTTAAGAACATAATATAGATATTCAGGGTGATTCCTATCAATACACACCATAGGATAAAGCTGATTTATATTCAAATGTACCTAAATACTTCATTAACATTTTAGGCCGATCTGTTTTAAATGTGTATGTCAAAAAGAATCATCTTTTATAGGTTAGTTTTGCGACATTTTACTTTTTTTTTACCATTTGATTATATCAACAGGTATTAAAATACAGTGTTCGCCAAAATAAACATACTTTGTTTATTTTGTAAACATTATATTTATAATAAAAAATAGGAAAAGTGAATTTACATTTTTGGTAAGATTAATTTATAAAGTACAGTTAATTTGTAAAAGTATTAGAACATAATATAACATTAAAGGTCATGGAATTAATATTTTTCAAAAAATTATAACCTATTTCCTGAGAATTTTTCATCATTCTTGAGATATACTTTTCTTCCAAATTGAAATTAAAACAATTCTACCCAAAACTAATTAAAAGAAAAAAATGTTTATGAGAAAACAATAAAATTTATTTTTGCAAAAGCAGTTAATAGAGCTATTTAAAAGACATCTAAAATTTTCATATACATTTTTATATTTTAATTCTTCTAAAATCTTTATTTTGTTGAGCCTTAAAAGCTTGTAAAGTTAAGTGCATTTATCAAAATTTAGTTACACACGATAACATTATAATCTATCAGTCCTATATGAATAATTAAGCATACATTTATCGTTAATTTACGCTAGAAGGCAAAATGGTAGCCAGATTGTGTTGTTTCTCTCATATTACAGGGAGATGCAACATTCAAATTTTTGTAATATTTTTAATATATCACAATTACTTCACAATTTGGAACATGCTAAATATCACATTTTATAAGCCCCATGTATTATAAACAAATATTTCATCAAATGTCAGTCAATATATTACATGCCAATCAGGAAAAAAAAGAATGATAGCCATAACGGTTTCTCGCAAACTACTTGTTCCTCTTATGTTTTTTTTTTTTTTTAATTTTACTTTTAAGTATATATTTACAAATATAGAAAACAATGACGGAACTTATACAAGGATTCATGCCTCTCAGGGCTATAGAGTTGTCCTCAGTCTTTAATCCCTTAAAAGAATTGGGCTGATCCTTAGAAATCGTTCTCTGGGACAGAATGTACAATATTTTATGAACACATAGCTACGAAAGAGATTAAAAAACAGAAAATATGGACTGTTTCTACTGGTATATCTATACTTAATTAATTAATGCATATTTGTAGAGATGTCATCTCTAGTATGGTTTCAAACATGTTTTCACAACATGCTTTTCAAAAATATCTTTTTAAACTCTAACAGAGTATTTAATTCCTTAATTTACATAATTTAATTATTTCTATAATAAAAAACTGAACATCATTTTAGCCATACAATGAAGACAGCTATATATTTAATGATAATTACAACTGAATTATCTAGAAGGCAATCTGCACCTGGGGAAACTAGAAACTAATTTACAATATTTGAGATACCTGTGATATTGGAAAACAAGTTAGGGAAATTCCTGTTACAAATTGAATGAGATAAACCTATTAATTTTATTTTTATATTCATTCAGAAAGTCCTCTTACTTAGACTAAGTTTTTTTTGTAAATTATACTTATTAATTTCATTAAAACATAAATATTACTCTAACATTTGCGGTATTTTAACAGAATAACTATATGAAGAATATATTTATATCTAAAAAATAATATTATATAAAATAATTAATTATTTATAGTTAATTAATATATTTGCTTTACACAGTTTTGCTGCTTATCACTTACACAATATAAATTACCCCTTATTGAGAGTATAATACAAAGGAATTTTTCTGTATTCTTATGAATTTTATGTAATACTTAAGCATTCAGGAGCAAAACTGAAATTAACCAGCATGTTATCCCATGTGCAGAGAGCCAAGATTAACACTAAGTGAACATGATCAATATACTGATTTTTCTAATTTAATTTATCAAGTAGATACAAACATTTATATATTAATACATTAACAAGATATAATACAATAAGCTAATAATCCTTCACGGAGGATAAATTTTAGCAAGATGCAAAGAAATATGTCAAGAAAGGAAGTTAATATATTAAACTAAACAAGTTCAATTTTGAAATAATAAGGAAATTCATCATTTATTATTTTTACATTAGGAATTTTCATTCATTCCCTTAATATCTTTGATATAAGATGAGATCATAAAAATTATGTAAAAACAATTTTTTGCCATCAAAATCTATTTTATAAAATATAACAGTAGCACTACAATTTTTTTTAAAAGTGGAAAAGTTAGGCCATTTATTAAACACCACTTCTTTTTATGGACTATCCACGCTTCTTTACAGTATGTAGTTTTTAATAAAAAAAACATATAAATAGTTTTTAAATAAAAAAACATTCGGTTTAATAATGTCTTAAACTTGAGAGTGATTTTCATAATAATCTATTATTAATGGCTATTCTATTAGCAATAACTATAAAGAGAATAGCGATCCATGTCATAGATGAAGCTAGATCTGCTCCTGAAGATTCTTCATCCTGACCATGCTTTACTTTGGGTCTATTAGTTGGAATGTCATTTGGTGTCGGTCGATTTCCTGGTTTAGAAGGGCAACGCATCCAAAATTCTGAGGATTCAATTGCCTCATTAGATATCCTCATTAATTTGTCATTAAATTTCCAAAACTTTGTGCCTTTAAAGAAGTATGTAATCCCTGCAAAGTAAGTGTGAATTAGTCAACTTTAAAATTTGTGAATTAAATTGATTTAGATTTATTTGAATGAATGGTTACAATTTGGCTTTATAACTTTAAAATGAAATTCCTATTTAACAATATTAATAATAATAAATTTGACTACATCTATTAATAGAATAAAGTAGGTAATAAAATAATATAGATGGGCAATCTACAAGATGCAACAAAGTATGTCAGTGCAGCTGATGCTGAAAATTAGTTTCTAAAGACAACAAGAAAAAACATGGAGGGACTTTATTTTTATTAGTTTTTGGGTTATTTTGGAACTAGAACATTTTTACACAGAACTTTTTGATTAAAGGTTTCATAGAATTACTATTTTTAAAAACTGTTATTTCAATGTTTTGTTACAGTAATTCATTTCAACAAAAATTTAATTTAAAAATGGTAATAGAACAGTACATTCTTAGATACTCAAAGAAAATATTAAAAACAGGCAAATAATTAAACATAAATTATATCTTTAATCTAAATCAGGGGTCTTTGAACTTTTTGGCCTGCGAACCACATTGAGTTCTTGACTAAGTTCTGTGGGCCACATTGAGACCTCTACCTAAGTATAGCAGGCCATGGCTCGTGATGAAAAAAAAATAATCTTGTTTTATAAATGACACTTCAGCTCTCAATGAGAAATGAGCTCTCTAAGAGAAAAATCCCAAACAATAAATGTAACAACTTTAGTAATTTATTTACTTTCATATTTTTAAATAGGTTTTAAAATTTTACCATGTAATCAAAGAAACTTTCGCAGGCCATATTGCAGGTGCTCACGGACCAGATCCGGCCCATGGGCTGTAGTTTGGAGCCCCTCATATAAATCAAATCATTGCTTATATCTCATTTAATTTAACTTTTCCCCATGGACTTATTATGATAAAAAAAGGTCCTTTTTAAAAACGTTTATTTTTAAAGAGCTGTGGCTAAAACCGAACCAAATAGCCAATATCATTATCAATGGATGCATCTACTATACATAAAGCAGCTGCATGTCTAATAATGATATTATAAATCACTGATATAATTTGAAACGATAAGAGATATGAAAGTAATTTACCATCCTTCCATTGGAATGCTGTATCAATGTCATAATCAACTCCTCTCCAGACTCTTTGAATATCTCTTGGGTAATCTAGTTCAACTTTTCCTGAGTCTTCATCAAGTTTCCAATACATTGTTCCTGTAAGAGAAAGAGATTCAAACATAATAAGTAATTTAGAAAATATTATGTGTAATAAAAATCTACATTAAAAAAGAATATGAAATAGAAATGCAATAATGATTCTTTTTATGAACTTTAAAACAAACCTGAGAATAGATATGTTTTTGAATTGTGACTCCATATCAAAGCAGCATCTATTTTTGTTAAAGAAGCAGGAAGACCAAGATGGGTCAATGGTTTGGGATATCCATTGTCCAAAAAGTTTCCTTGAAAAACATAGTAGTATTTCCCTGAAAATAATACAATATTTTTTATGATTTTTTTCCTTATCAAATAGAAAGAGGTTTGTGATCATTTTATGCTAAAATTAAGTAAAAAAAATTACCAATGAAGAAAACAATCTTCTTATCCAAGCGTTCATATACTGCATCAATGGCGATAAAATCCTTTGGAAGCTCAGACCAAAGTCTTTCTGCAAGAGCAGGATAGCCTCTATGGACTCCTTCATCTCCCACTCGCCAAAAATACTGAAATAAAGAAATCATTAGTACTTTCACTGTATTAGTTATGATATACTTAGTCATGTAAATAGTTCGGAAGGCTCTCAACTGCAGTCTAATTCAATGTGTCCTTACATTTCATCTATTCCCTGTCACAATCACACATTTTGACTATAGCAACTCAATAATAATGTAACTTGAACATAAAATTACCTATGAACCAGATAAATATTTAACAAAATAACATATTTTCATTATATTATGATTTATTATCACAACATAACCATTGTCAAGAGCTCAGGCTCACTCCTGGTCAAATCTCGCGATTCATAGACATTTATTTAGCTTTGTATATATCATCTCATTTCTCAGTTGAAATGAATAAAAATTCGTTCCTCCATAATCCAAATCACTCCTTTGAATTAATTCTTTTCTTTTATTGATTTCTGTTGGACCCCTTGCATTGAAACACTCCTCTGCATCACAGGGCTTGCAAGAATATTATTAACCCACGGGGTATACTAAACAATATTATTCCCTTAGGAACTATTACCTTTCCCTTAAAGATGAACACCTCTCCTCTGATAAGAGCGATTGCATCATAGGATGTATTGCAAGTGTTGGGTGCTTCAGGAGCTTCTGTTGTCGGTGGTTCTGGTGGCCTTGTTGGGCGTGGCCTAGGTGTTGTAGTTGTAGTTGTTGTAGTAGGAATAGGCCTTACTCCTGGTCTTGGTGGCCATCTGTGGACAGGTTTTTCTCCAGAATTCTTTCCCCATTGCTTTTCCTTCACTCCTATTAATAATAAATCAGTGGTGAGTCTATTTATAGAAAATATAATATAAATTAAAAAATATATATTATTTTTATACCATTTTAACAAATTTTAGTTTAAATAAATATCACTCTAAAAATTTAAATTTTTATTTGTTTATCAAAGTAAAGTTTAAATAAAAAATGAGTTGTTTGTTATTTTCAATACAATAAGAACATGCAAATATTGATGGCAAAATAATTAATTGGAAATTTATGGTGATAATGCTTATCTATCGGAATATTATTTCAGATCTAATTCAGAGAATTTTTTTTTCTTTTGAAATTTTAAATAATTTGGTTTGGAGTTCCCTAGGCTTAGTGTTAGTATCATATATAATCTAATTTTTGCCTAACTTTAATAATATTTTGCTATTATTAAATTTATAAATCTATTTATGTTCATTAGTGATGTATGTATATTATTTTATATTGCAGTAAGCAAATAATAACTATCTTGTTTGATAACGACTGTTTAAGACAGAAATACAAGCAAAGTCTAACCAAACTTCTTATGATACAAGAGAACCAGTATTATTGTTATTAAGTACCATATAATTGTTGAATGGCAAGCTTATCATCTTCGTGGAGATCTATGCTGCCAAAGCCCTGGTACCATGGATACATCAGTGCTCCAGGAACCGAGCTGTGAGCAAGCCCAAGAGAATGTCCAAATTCGTGAGCAGCAACAGACAGGAGACTAGTTTCTAAAAAATAAAAATGAGTTCAAAATAATGAGAAAACAATAATAATATAAAGAATTAAAAATAAAAAAAAAACCTTGAACTCCAAATTTTTAGTTCACTTGACTTTTGCCAGCTTAGAAATTATGGCTTAAGGTAGCAATAGTGCTTGCATATTTTAAAGAAATGGTCTCTTTAATATTTTGTTTAATGTGCTTTTTAGGCTTGTCATCAAGACAGAAATTTACATTCATTTAAAAGATAAATTATGTGAATTTAAACTGATTTCTGATAAAAGATACAAGTTGTTGGATTCCAGAAAAAATACTGCCAGAGAGGAAAAAAAAAGTGTCAACCATCAAAGTTTTTCTTTTTAATTTCTAATAAACAAATAATTAATAAATCAACATCATTTTTAAATAACAGTCATTAAAATGACATCTTTCACAATACTTTTTAAAATTTAATTTTCTTTTTATACAAATTTGAATGGGTATTTTATTATTTTCCAACTGTAACAATGACCTGATTTCAAAACTATTTATTGACAGGATTGCAGCCCTGGTTGTCCCCAAGCCGTAGAAGACTAATTTCCATTTTGAGTAGAGACATAAACTATGGTGGTAATTTGCAGTAATACTCAATAACTTGATGTCACAATCATTTGATCAACACACATTCCATTCCAGAATGTTCCTTGTCCTATGTTAATAACTTAAATCTAGTTATTCTAAGTGATAATCTCAGCATTTAAATTTAAACTATAATAGACAAGAATGTAACATGATAATAAGATTATAAATGAATTCTTGAGAAATATTTTCATGCACTGTATTTCTTCAATAGCCATGACATCTCATCCTATAAAAGTTCAATAATGCTTAAATGTTACTATGGCCACTATAAATATATGATTGAGACATTTCCCAGGAACCAAATTAAAGTGATCATTTCATTTCAGTCATCTATTACTAATACATAAAAGTAAAATAGTAAACTAGAAAATGTCTTACTTTCTCCATTGCTGTCTCCATCTCCAGTCAGATGCCATGGCTCTTCAATGTCGAAGTGGACATCACCTCCACGACCGCTACCTGGGAAGAAAGCATGAGCCAGAACTTGCCCTTTCCCATCAAATGGATAGCCGTCTCCATGATACCCCCTATTTAACAATCATAAGAATAATGAATTAAGTAATATATAATGGAGAAAACATCGTTGACAGTAAATTGAATAATACGAGAATTATGAATTATTGGTTAGGAGTGTAGTCATAAATAAAATTAAACTTTGGTATTAGGGTAAAGGCTACTATTATTGAAATCTTACCAATTGACAGTTGTAATTTAAATTTGATAAAATAAGTGGTTAGGTTCATACAGGATTTCAAACCTGGCACCATAGAGACACATTAATCAGCCTTTAAAAGAGTTAGAAATCCTACATGAATCTAAACGCTTATTTTATCAAATTTAAGTTACAAGTGTCAATAATTGGTAATATAGCAATGATAGGTGTCTTTACCCTATATTTATATAATCATTTGTGAGTAATTTCATTTATGGCCACACTCCCAACCTATTTCTTCACATTTTAAGTAATAAATAACTGAGATTTGGACAGATAGATTTCCATGCAGCAAATTTTTTTTTTTCTTTTCTTTTAATTCTTATTATACTTCCATCTTTTGTTATATTGTATTATATGTTCAATAAAGCATTGTTTTAATTTAAATATAAAAATCAGTTAATTATTATAATTCATAATCGACTTTGATGAATTTAATTTAAATTTAAACTAAATGATAAAACCTTGGGTCTGTTAGAGAGTAGAAAAAACAAAGTGATGGTGTAAACATTGAAAAGATTACAAAAAAAGTAAAAAAATAGGTAGATGGGGTGAATATTGGGAATGTTACAGGTAATCCTCAAGGGAGTGGGGTAGCTCAGTGGTAGGGTACTGAGCTTCCAATGCTAAAGGTCCCAGGTTTGAATCCTGGCTCATGGCCGAAAAATTATTTATTCTGTTTCATTGGCCGCGGGGCGACTCTGGACAGGTAGAGCCCCTTGGGGCATACCCAGCCTCTATAAAGTGAGTACTCTTGATTAAAATAATTAATTAAGGGGAAAACCTGGCGGTTGAGCGTGATCTCGGTCAAATCAGCTCCTTGTACAACGGTAGACCAAGAAACAGTGCTTTCCCTACATAGTACTGACGCCAAAACCCTTCATGGGCTGTAATGGTACAGGTTTTTTTACAGGTTTTCAGGGATGGCCCCCAATTCCCCCAAGGTCAATGGCGCATCAATCACTAACTTCTCCTCTCAAGATATTTTATTGCTCCCCTCTTTTTAAAATCAGAGCAAGCTAAAGAACAATTTTAAAAATCATATGTCATATACAATTATATTTTCATTGGTTTGTTCTATGCTCTCCTCATGTCTTCTGGTTTGAAACTTTTTATTTCGAAATTTCAAAATCCCGCCAAAAAGTGCCCCCTCAAAAATTTTGATGCCGCAACTTGCGCCGTAAAACCCCCTTCTGGGCACCCCTGTAGGTAATGTAAATATTATGACGCTTATGTAAACATAACTAATCATAATATTTCAATTATCATAATCATAATCATCAAGTAAAGTAGGAGTTGAGCCTTAGCGGACAAATTCTGAAAATTGCTTAAACCCTCGCCAGCTTCCGCATTTCTCATTTAAAAAAGAACATTAAGCCTTAAGCCTTTCTCTCAGTCTTAAATTATTCTGTATTTCAGAAAGTAGACCAGTTTGAAATTAAAGGAAAGACTTAAAGTTCTGTTGAATCATATTTGCGTTTATTTAGTAATATATGTACCTACAGCGTTAATAACATAACATGATATCGAGATTTGGTCTGAGCTTTCAATGTTACTTATTCACATTTTTTAAAATTAATTTACATGACTGGTATCCACACTTTATTTCTTATATATATTTCTGAATACAGTTAGTTGACAATTTGGGACAAAAACTGTTCAATACCTATTCCCAGCTATCGTTAGATAATGGTGGGTAATATCTATATAATTAATATGGTGGGTAATATCTATCTCTTTGGACCGTTGTAAATTCAGCACCATAAAGTAATTGTTTTGTCAATTCCCAATAATCTTCAGGACAACTATTAAATACGCCACTGGATAGCCGATAGATAAAATAATTTAGAACGCTTAGGAAGGACTTCAACGCATTGGGCAAGGAGGAATGAAATGCAATTTGAATTTCGTTTGTTCAAATTTTATTTTCGCCTGGTAGAACTTTTGATAGAAAGATACGACATTCGTTGAAGTCTTAATAGCCATGCAATATCTGTCGATGTAGAATGACATGAACAAATATAAGTTCAGATAAAAAACACTAAAACTGAACACAGTGTCGGCTCGTATTCGTTGAAAAGACAAGTTGAAACATTAAAATATAATTCTGTTAGAAGGAGGAGTTCAAGAAGTATCAAATAATATCCCGAAAATCCATATGATCAATGTAATTCTGGGATACATTTATTTCCACCACGAATAAAACAAAGAGATCCAAAGGACTTTTCGAAGTTCAGAAAGACTACAACATTCTCCCCAAGAAAAACAAATTCTATTAACTTCGACGTATTCATATACAACCACCCCACCTACAAAATCAAATTCTACATTTTCTTTTGAGATCTTAGTAATCCATAAATATTTTTCGATGATAAGGAAACAAAACGGACGATAAAATAATTCTTAATATTTTTAATTTCCTTTTTAAATCAAATTCATGGAACGTTTGGTACTTAATAAAATTGAATAAAGAAGATTCCAATTATGAAGAATAAATATTAAATAAGAATCGATGATGTTGCGTGCCTGACTGAGTCGCGTCAGTAGAGAATGAGTAATAAGACTTACCTTCACCCTTCGCGTGGTTGGCCGAGTTTCCTAAAGCTAGAAGTATATCGATGATTCACCCAAAAAAATCAGAAATTATTTAAATTTGAATATATTTTAGAGGTTATTTCATCTCCAAATTAGCATATTTGAAGATCGTAGTTAAAGGCTACACATTTGGAATTTTACAGGTAAACCAAAACAGTGTTTTACTTAAATATAAATTGAAATTTGGATGCTCTAAAAAAAAAGAAGTTCACTAATTTATAACAAGTCAAACTTTAATTTAGAGATGGTTTCAAAATGCCGAAATCGATTATATGTAAATGCCAATAATGCCAGAGCTAAAAGCCCCCCTCCCCCTCCGAGACCGGGACACGAACTCGTACTTATTTTATCTTCTATTACTTCGGTTATCAAGTTGCCGGTGAACCACATGGCCCCGATAGATTCCAGGCAATCATTGGGCGAGGTGAAATCATAAAAAATGTTGTAATAAGACAAAGATGAGGCACTAAACATCCTCATAACGAGCCCCAAGACCCCTTGTACAAACTAAATAGAAAATTAAGTCTCCAGGAGTCAAAAAGTTGGTAGGGGTTGTGGTTAATTGGTACAAGGTACAAATATATATCCATATATCAGTTACATATTTATGGTAGAAAATATAAATTAGTAAACGAAAAGAGTATAAACAGAATAAAGTAAATGGCAACAGTAAATAGTAAAACTTGAAACCTAAGAGAACTGAATTTTAAAATATAGTATAGTATAAGAGAGAAACATACTGCTAGATATATTATAAACTATTAAAATAAATAATGGAAGTAAAATAAAAAAGAAGTTAATAATACATGTGGTACAACAGTCAATTATGAGAATATAATAATGTAGAGATGGTTGACCGTGATATAATATGAGAAGGAGTTGATCGGAGGGTGCGGTCAAATAAATACTAAATTATAAAAATAGTAAAGGAAGGAGATGGTCCGGGGTGGCGGTCATAAAAAAACTAAATAGTGGTAAAACTATTTTTATTTATTAAAAATAGTTTAAATTTTTAAATTAAATAGTTATCAATTTTTATTTAATAAAACAGTTTTACCACTATTTAGTCATTTTATGACCGCCACCCCGAACCATCTCCTTCCTTTATAATGTAACGGTCAACTATTAAATATTCAATATAAAAATAGTATTATAAATTTATTACGCCGACGTTTCGTTAATAAGAAAAGTTTCTTATTTAATATCTACTTTACATTCATTTATTTTATTTTCACCATGTACCTTTGATATTTTGTATCTTTTGTAGTTCTGATGAAGACCTGCAAAGTGGGTCGAAATGTCGGCGACCATCCCTCCTCTCTCCGCCTCCCTCCCCCAGATCAACTCCTTCTCATATGAGAATATAACATAACTGACCACCAATGTGATGAAAAATAAAAATTAATTTAGAAAGTAAGTAAATGGTAAAATCATATGTAATTATGGAGAAGGGCACAAAATACACATGACCATTGGCATTCAGTTTTTTAATAGTGGTAATGAGAGGCATGTGAGGATATTGGAAGAATATAGCGAGGGATAGATTTTAAAAGATTGGTCTATTAAGAATAATAAAAGACTAACAAATGATTTCATTCGGCATTGCCAGGCTCAGCTACAGAAGTGAAATGAGAGGGTGAATGGGAGGGGTTAGTATAATTAGTATATTTCTGTTTTTCCAAGGTAATTATCGTTATATATGTGAAAAAAAAAAGCTTTCGGGCTGAAGACCCCCAAAATTAAATCCTGGATCCGTTAGCTCCCCAAACCAACTTCTCCTTAAATCAAAGCTGCGGTCGTCAACTATTTCTATACCATTCTGAACATTATTTTTAAAAGACTTTAATATATTATTAGGATGTTGACACTATGAGGTCGGGTCGGATTTATTCGGGGCTGCTGGACGACTCGGCTAAGCGCACGAAGGCAGCCGACTATCGGGGGAAGCGACAGACAGCCCTGATAGCAAGAGCAGGACCATCCAATCTCCGCGGGGCTATCTTCTTCCCTTCCTGCTGATTAGATTGTGGTCTCAGCGGCTCTCTTACTCTTTATCTCCTCTCTTTAGCAGATCGGCAATAACCGACCGAATAAAGAAATTAGTCAGTAATCATCTCCTTTACCAGAGCAATTATTAAAAATATAATAATTTAAAAAAAACGTGTAGCAAGTACTGTCAGAACAGCCTCTTCACCATTTCTATTGTTTACACAATTAATT